TAGCTGTCTGCTCTCCCTTTTTGAGGCAGCTTGAGCCTCATCTTTGGTGCATGCACCATCCTACTTTCTTCAATACAGTTGTCCTCTCCACCCTCCTCCCCTTTTTGATTGCCAGCTTCATTTTATTGCCTGATGTCAAGGCAGCACAAAACCAGGAGCAGTTCAATGGAGCAGAGCAATGGACATCCATGCAGATGAAGAGATCCTCACCACCGCCACCTAGAAAAATTAGCATTATTAGGGTAGAGAAGGGAGCACAATGCTTTTCACACTGTCTAGTCAGAGAGCCTACGACCAGAAAAGTCTAATACCAGAGAATCTGCCTCTGCATCACTTAGGAACCAAGAGCAACTGCGCTCCCTCTCCAGCCTGCCAGGGAAACACACAAACTATACAGAGAAAACAAACCTATGTGATGTGATGGCAAAGACAGTGGATATACAAAGACACGTGCTATGTGTTTTGTCCAACATGCCGGGTGCCCACACCATCCAGTAACCAGTTCCATATTCAGTCCCACCAAAGCTGTCTCCTGAACCCACCTGCAGCCCTCCTGGCCAGCTAACCACTGAATTTTTCAGCTGGAATATACTGCTGTTTTATGGAGACACCAGGAGAGAAGAAACTGTGATCTTTCAGGCAATTAAAGTCCCATAGAGGTTTTTAAAGTTGAGGCAGGCTTTGGATTGGTAGAAGAGCAATGAAGATAAAGGAGGATTCAGGGAACTGCTAACCGAAACTCTTTTACAAAATTGATGGGCCATTACCTTTTCTCTCTTCCTTGTTAGCGAGCTGCTCAGAAAGCGAAGGACATGCACCAGCAGTCGAGAAGGGGAGACAAAACCCAACCTGAGGAATGATTAATGTACAGTCCTGCGGCTCACAAGTGAAAAGAACAGCCCTTTTAGAGCTTCAGTAGGCTAATATTTTCCAACATGCTTTTAAAGCCCAGAAAAAAAACCATGTCATGGGTAGCTTGTTAAGAAGAGAACACAGCACTGACAACTATTCACTGATACACCTGTGATACGACAAATCCTCCATGTGACAGTGACCTTACTGATCTTGAAATCAAACTATTTAAGCAGGTGTGAGGACTTTTATTATTTACAAATAATACTAAATAAATCGTCATGGCTCTGTTTTCAGTACAGCAGGAAAGGAAGACTGTATAGAGTACAGTGGCTTTTACGCTTAAAAATCACCCAAGAAACCAAGTCTGCCAAAAGGTTGGACAGATACAATACATTTATTTTCCTTTAATGCCCATATATACGTATCAAACAAAGGAGCTCAGAGTCTACACATACACATACTCATATATACATGCATAAAGACCAATTTGCGGGAACCTGCTTTTGTTCATGATTTTATGAAGGTGCTCCAGCCTTTCTTAAGGTCAAACATATTTTACTGACCGATTAATTGAAAACAAGTGGTGTTACCTTTCAAAACACAAAACCACCACACAGCCTAAGTCAAGATGAAGCCTTTGCTTATCACAGAACCGTTAAAAAAAGAAACTCTAGAGGTCAGGATAATAGTGTAATGTATGGAGTCAGTAATTACAGCCTCCCAGAAGACGTTTCTGCCTGAGGTGAGTTAGCAGACACATCCTCAGATTAAACCTCCATCAGCAGATCTCTGTATTTCATCAATCTTTCATTATGGCACATCTTAGAAAATCATCTGGTCAGGTGTCATTAGAAAACCTCTTCATCTTTCAAAGCATAATCTACCCAAATAATTACTATAACCACAACAGTTTAAAAGGAGGGCCTGCAGCTTGTGATAGAGTTCAAGTAGCTCAAAATAGAGGAAAATATACATTTCTACAATATTTTAAATTGAAACACTGCCTTTCACAGCAGAAGAGGTAGCTAATTAACAAAACTCATCTGCAATAATTTTTGAAAGAGCTTAATCCCAGAAATTGGGATTTCATCAAATTTCTGGACAATTAATCCACCAAAGCAGCAATGCAATCCCCTCATTTTTCTCTGATGATGGCAAACTCATAATCAAGGAAAGTTGATTTGCAACCAGTGAACAGCTCTGGTGTTTCTCACCTCAGAACCAACAGGTAATTTTACCAGGATGAGCCCAAAGACTGTCATGCTAATGTATACATGAAAAGAGATACAACGCAATTTCTAGCCCAACAATATGGTTTTCTCATCTCAGGTCCTCCTCTAACCATATGCTTTTTCCTTGTGTGTTAGTGCTTCTTCAGAAAATGCTACATTATTTATGCTACCCTTCAAAGCATGTTTCCTATACTGAACCTCTCCACACCCAAAACACATTGTACATCTGATTACTCAGTCGTAAGTTTCTTCTTTATGCTTGTCTTTTGGATCTTCTGCTATTTAACATGACAGGCAGTCTGAGTTTATTTACAAATAATGGCTACACTGCTTTTCCTACAATCCTATTTTTTAAAATGTGTCAATAAAAAATTAAACAAATTAACTTAAGAAAGAGTGGGCTCCAGTCCTGAAAGTCATACTGGACACAGAATTTCTGTAGAAGCACCTATCAAAATTTTTATGAAGGGCTAAGAGTATGAAAGCTTTGAAATAAAACTCCTTATGATGAAAAAAACATTCCAATAAAAGTGTCTAAGAACATTGTTGTGCCAGCAGATGGAATATTAAAGCTGGTTTTGATCGTGTGTTTATATGTTAAACCTCCAGTATACTATTTTTTGCCCTTATTTATGGCAACCAATCAAACAAATCCATATTCTCTAGAAACAAGAAATGTCCACTTCCAACACAGAAAGGCCAACTCCCTCTTCTGATGGTAGAAACATGAGAAAAGATTAGTTTATTTGATCTGCCAGGTTCTCTGTATTACCAATGTTACAAATAAAATCTGTTTTCAGGAAAAAAGCAGAGGAAGCTTCTACCTTTTATGACCAAGAGGGAGAACACTGGGTTTGTTTCTTCTTTTGCTCTGTTTTTTTTTTTTTTTTTTTAAATTGGACCTGTACTTCTCCCATACACTCCGTAACTAAATTTTTTGTCTTAGAAGAGGCAGCAGTTTCTGCAGAAGTCTCAACAGAACTGGAATTCATCTTTGGTCCCCAGATGTGGCATGCAAATGGGCAGGAGTGGGATCAGATATGTTATTTTCTGTGCCTAGTACAGAGTTTTTGGCAGATATTGTGGGATACCAAGGCAGGTCTGGCGCTCAGAGCAAACAGAACAACCTGCGCACGTACAACCTTTCCCACCAATGCCTGTCCTACTGATGGGGCTTATAATCATCTAGGAGAGTTTGCTATTCCCTACCACTCCCAGATACATTTCACCAAAAGCTTAGCATTCTTGGTGCCACATGATAGCAAAAGACACATTTCTCTTAAATGTCCCCTTTCAACACTGATGTTTCTATGACCAGTTCTGTCTTTAGGAGAAGCAGGTACCCACCCTAGAGAAATGTGACTCACTATCTTACTGTATAAACAATATAAAGGAATGATTTTATTTTCCAAAGAAATGTAAATATTTGAAAAAAGGACTATGAAGGCTGTAGAAAAATTAACAAAAAGCAAAGCTGGCTTCCTTTACTCTATAAAACTGCATCACATTTAGGTGCTCCTTAGGATGCTCTATTTATTTCCTGACCAAAGCAAGCTACTACAAAATCTGACTTGAAGGGAAATGTGTAATGCACTCATTTTCTGAGGCAAACAAAGCGCTATAATGGTTTATTCATAAGAAGTTAAAACTGTTTTACTTCTCACCATTTCCAACTGGATTTGCCCCTCTTAGATCTCTCAAAATTTGCACCAATGGAAGTGAAAAACAGTACAAAAAATCTCCCAACCATCAGTCACTTATAGTAGTAAAGAATTTAGAAAGATGGAATTGGGTCACAGAAACACTTACCACCTTTCCTTTTGGAAACGTAACCAGAGATAATCAGAAACTTGGGAGGGGGGATTGAAGATGTTTCAGAAAATCTTTTACTGGGAAAGATTTTTCAGGTCCAAAATGACACTTCCCATCAAAAGTCAGACACAAGAAAGAAAACAAACCACCACTCTACTATTGCAAATATCTCAATAATCAAACATGGACAAAAAAGCAGCAGCTCATTAGCGTTATCCAATCCTTACTACCCATGTATCAGGATGGGTACTGTCCAAAGATCCTGGAATTACTCAGTGTGAATGGCAATGTTTTTGATACGTCAAGATGCTCAGCAGGACAGGAAGACAGCTCACTGTCCCCCTCTAGGTAAGTCACCTTCACAATCCTTTTCCCACAGCAATGCTACCTGACAAAGAAGGATGCTACTGAAAGACAACCAGTCAGGAATGAAACCTAAGGAAAGTCTGGCTCCAGGGCAGGAAGGCCTTGAGCACACAGTCGTGGCTGCTCCTGATGACGAGGAAGAACTTCAGCTCACAGGTACTCAGGTTTCAGGGACAAACCTTAGTTTCCTGCAGCACCCTTAGGAATTTTCTTGCATCAAGGTCTTTAGACTTAAAACTATTACTCGTCCCTCATTCCAACTTTTTTCTCCATCAAATCAAATATCTCAAGGAAATGGAAACACATGCATTCAGTCAGAGTGTAAGTAGCACATGTAACTTGGACCATCAGGAAGACATGCTTTCACATAGCCAGGAGAAACATATGAGAGGACATACTCGAAAATACGGTTTTATATAAAAAAGTATTTTGTATATCTGAAGTAAAATAATGTTGTGTGTGCAGTTTTATGCACCTGGCTGAATTCATCTGAAAGGTTTGCTCAATACAGTTTTAGCAAAACAGCATGTAAGTGCTAAACTATGAAAAGCAGAGATTTTAAAAAGTAACACCAGCAAGAAAAAGAACATATCCATCCTCTCATAGCCCCTGGGACGCAACTACTCAATCAAACGAATAGGTTTGATACCTAACTTCCTCCAGGTGTACGTATACTCTGTATCAGCAGACAGAAATAGCACCAAGTCAAGTGGGATAAGGAAAGCGAGGACTCACCGGCCGTTGTCACGACCCACACCCCAGACTCTGATGCTCACAATAGGCTGCGAATGAAGAACTGTGCGGTCCATGGGGTCAATCAGGTTCAGCATGTCATTTTCCAGTATAAGGTACATATCTTTGCCCTGCAACTCCAGACAAAGTACAGTTACACAGTACATCCCCTTCTCAAACCAACTAGGATCAAGGTGTTATGCCTATGCTGTTTAGACTTGCATCCTCTTAATTTACTTAAAGTTTCGGTTTGTTCCAAGAGCAATTGAAAACAAGTTCATTTACTTCTGGTGTGAACAAGGTGTAAGAAATTATCTTGCTACTTCTGTATTTTCAAACGATCCCAATCACAAAAAGCTTTGATGTCTCTTTAATACAACTGTTTGACTCATTCAACCCCATGCTACTGAGTTCTTCAACAAATTGTTTATCCTTTCTCAAGTTAATTCTTTCAAATATATTAGAAGTCAAGAACTGTCTTAATAGTAAAGGCTCACATCAAAACCTGTAGTCTAAAGACAGAGTTTCTTCCTTCAGACAACGTGCTTTGTTTCCACAAATTTTAACCAACGGGTCATGGGAACAGACAGCAATTTGTACGTGTCAAAGGATTTACAGGATAGTCTTTGAAGAAAGATTAATGAAAAGGGAAAACCTAGCATTGAGACATGAATGTAAATTCTGCTGGTGACTGCAGAATCCTGGAGCCAGGATTTCTCCCTAATTCTTCTGGCATGTAAGAACAAGGAGAATGCTTTTTCCCCTTAGAGGAAACAAATTTAGAGGCAATTTTCCTTTTGATGCTAATTTGCAAATGCTAATCTTCCTCCTATAGTTAGCATTTGCAAAAGGTCTGCTGCCTCTTCTATCACATTTACTAGCTCTCTTCTCAGAGGCTGTACACTTACTCTGCAGACTGCAGAATCCCATGGAAATGATCATGGACCTATTGACAAAAGGTAAGACAAGCTCCTGCTGATAATAATAATAAGAAGGTGGGAGCTATCAGCTAAATATAGAATAATTTGTTTCCTCTCTATTGTGCCAGAATGTATAAATGAACAGAAAGAATGGAAAGGGTCTGACTTCCTACTGACAGTGTTTCAAAAATGACCTTCTTCCTCACCTCAGTGACATAGAAACCCTCTTCTTGCTTGGATACAGTGGCTCAAATCTTAATGACATCTAATTCTGTGTTTGTGTAAGACACATTCACATCACCCTGGGAAGGTTTGCTTCCAGAGTTTCCAGGCTAGGCAGGAAGGAACAAGTACTGCCGACCAGCTCTGCCCTCCAAATCTCCTAACAGGGATTCCGAGGGGAGCTGTGACAGAGCTGGCAGTGCAAGCACCAAGAGGGCTGTGGGAGAGGAAGGGGACACAGGCTGGTATATGCAATGCCAACACAAGAATGTTTTGCCTGATGGAACAAGTACAGCTGTGGCTGAGATGCAAGGCTGGATAAGCAGGCTGCTCCTAGAGAAGCAGATGTAGCTGCGATAACCATGAATGTAAATGGTGCGAATCAACAGCATTGAGCTGCTTGTGGCATACAGAACAAGAAACATGGGAAATTAAACACAAAATCCAGGATGACACCAGGCAGACCAGGATGACGAAGGAAGCCAAACAGAAAACAGAGTAATCACAAAGAAAAGGGGTAAGAAATTTGCTTGGAGGTCAGAAGCAGTAAACAGATTGTGTGAAGTATGTTACCAAGTGTCATAAAGATTGCTTTTTGGACTCATTTTCTACTTATGTATTTGTTCCAGAAGGAAATTATTACAAGAAGGTAAAATCCGTTCACCATGCAAAATACACTGGGATTAGGGTAATAAAACCGAATCCAAATTAGTTGCAAAAGATTGGAGAATGGGCAGGTAAGCAACATAAATCGCAGAAAATTATCCTGGCAATGCTCAAGGGATAGCTTGGCCACAGCCAGAAGCAATATATTTTGCTAAGTTTTGTTGCCTTATTATACAAAAGCTATTTTAGAGATGAAAACACTGCATAGGGCAAGAAGAAATTATTTAGACAAACTGGGAGCTTGAACATAGGCCTCAGTGTCTCAGACTGCTGAAGAGTGGCAGAGAGCTGACGGTCCAAGATGAGGAAAGCTCTCATGGGCAGAGCCACGCAGAGAAAGTGAGTGAAGGAAAGAAAGACTCAGTCCCAAGTCTTTCAGGGAACTGTTATATAATGCGGCATGTAGGTCAATGGCAACAATGTATCTTTTTCATATAAGTGATTTTGTAATACACAGGAACATAATGCACAGCAAAGCAGCAACACAAACAGATGAGTTGTATTTTTCTTCTTAGATTTTACAGAACCATGTAAGTTCGAAATTTTCAGGGAATTTCTTTTAGAGGTGAGCAGAGGGCACGGAATCCCACATTAAAGCCAGTGACAAAGCTTCTGCAGGGTCAGGATTTTACCCAGAGTGTGTGGGTTTTTTACATTTTGTTTTCTTTAAATCATTAAAACTTTCATTAAAAAAATTCACTTTCATTACATTCTAGATAAAATAAATATTTAGGCAATTTTAGGACCTCGATCTGCAGTGATCAGTTCTACCTTCATATTAGATTTCTGCTGTGTGTGTTTCATCTGATACGTCAGTGATAAGCACACTTTTTTCAGATTTTTCTCTAAAATGTGCCTCTTCCAATCACTTCTGAAGCATTCCATTGCCAGCAGAAAAATATCATTGTAATGATTTCTTTTAAAATCAAGAAGACAATTTACTTCAGAGGACACCTATTCAAGCACAGTACCTCTAATGTTTCGTCAGGGTGATTTTTTTTTTTTTTTTTTTTATGAATAGCATTCTTAATTAAAACATACATGCACGAGGAGCAAAACTTTTCATCAGATTGGCTTGAAAACCTGCAAGGGTTTCCAACAAAGAACAATGGGATTGTCAAAGAGGAATATGGAAAAATGTTAACATTAACTCTTTAAACCAAAATAAAGCACATGATTTCAAAGTAAACTACGTATTTCAAGGTGATCAAAGTTCAGCCATCTGAAAAATGGATGGGAATACACACATGTAAAAAGAGTGGGGGTTTTTCCCTCCCAGGGTCAGCAGTAAGTCCAAAGTCCATGACTGACACAATTCTAGTTACTCGTCTAGCTATGTTAACTAAATAAAACTGTTCCCAGAGGTAAGAATGGAGACCAATGTTACCTTGTTCACTTGTATGTATAATATACATTTCTTACATAAAAAAAACCCTTCTGAAATGACTTTAAATAGATAGGGTACTCTAATCGTATCCCTTGAAACATCACTTTCATTTTTAAACAGGCACTTTCTCCCAATTGCTCCTCTGAAGTGTCTCTCATTGTTGTGGTCATAGCCAGGACACTGAACACAAGCCTTAAACTGTAGCAGTAACTTGGGGAACTGAAGGATATTCTTCCTAACTTTTTTACTAAAACAGACAAGTCCTTCTTTTAATTCCTCTTCTGTTTGGCAGTGCTGTTTCTCTTAGATCACACAAATATCAGTGAAGGTTACAACATTCACTCTTACATCAGCTTTGCCTTTAGATCTTGTGTATTAAATCCACATTAGTGTAACCCTCCTGAAATACAGGTCAGGAGAGAGGTAAAGAATAAGATTTGGTAGAAGTTTAAGTTGATCCATGATCAATCAAATAACAAATATGTTTTTCTATGGGCTCGTCTCCTATGTCCTCTGTATGTTCCACTACTGTAACTCCAGCTTTTCCTTTCTTCTTCTTTCACTTACTGATCCCTCCACACCTTCCACTCCTTCATCTGACTCCAGCACAAGTATTTTCCACACTGCAATACCTCTAGCTTCCTTCACATTTTTCCCTGTGCTCCCACAGCATTATTCTGTCTTTGCTGCCAATTCAGAAAGAAGCACAGAGCTTGCATGGTTCAGCTGATGAAGGTGTACTGACCCACCATCAAAACAAGAAAGCAGAGAGCTTGGGCTCTCTGTTTTTCGTTAGTGTGTGGGAATTTGGCACCCTTCAAAATGGATGACACTGGTGAACAGATTCAGGAGTTACTGGAGAGGAACAAACAGACAGACTGAAAACATAAAATTCAATTTCCTTATGAAACACTGATAAAACAATCATCTTAAAATAAGCCATCTGTCCATCAGCCTCAATCTTTTCGTACATTTTAGAAGCATGGGTCACACCAGCCTGGGTTTCCTTGGAGCCCGTTTGTCACTGGGAAACGTGAAAATGCTGTTTCAAAGCACCAGTCTCAAACCTCTGGTCAGGAGAAAGGCTTCCACTGATTTCAACAGTTTGTCCCAACAGTGATGCACAGGTGTGTACTAGTACAGGTATAAACATAAAGATGAGGTCTTGGTGGCACCTGCTGTCCTGAAAAGTTTGGAACAAAACCATCAACACTTTCCTTGAACCCTTTAATATTTTCTGTCAGTGCCAGCTGGGATAGGGAAATCCCAGAACACAGAGCATGGACATATTTACCTACAGAGTTGTTCTTCCAATATGTTTTATGACATGTGTGGTATGTACCAATAGGAGAAGTTCACCCCGTTCTTACCTCTCCCCAGATGCCGACAGTGTCTCTAATATCGTTTTTACAGTAAGAAAGTTGCCTGATGCAATTGTTCACAGCAACACTGCTTTTTCCAGGAGCAAGATCTTCTTCTGCCATTTCTACCCAGCCCAGAGATCGCACAGCAAAGCACTAAAAAGAAACCAGAAAATATCTGAACATGTATCAGAGCACACAACATGCTGCTGTATCCAGCTACGGAAATCATGCTATGAAACAGAAACTGGTCAGTTAAGATTAAAGATCCACAGCTAGGAGTGGAATAAACTCAAGGCCTTGTAGATGAGCTTATGCTCAAAGATATGTAAATTTTAATATAATTTGAGAATGGCAAAGTAAAAACATTTGAAGGAATGAAACAGAATACATGACTTTCCAGGCAAAGCATCTGTGGAGGTAACAGTAATGCTTTACAATAAAATACTTTTGTTAATATAAAGGAGGAAATGAGGGAGCAGTACAAATAGTAGGACACACACAAACACAGAGAAATAAAGGAAAAAAGCACAACTGCAGTATAATTGAAATTTTAGCTAGTATCTAAGAGTTCTAAATGAAAAGAAAGAAAATACTATTGGATTACGTCTGTTGTGAGAATCACACGGTTTATCCCACTGCCTGACTTTTAACCAGAAATAATAGAGTCACAGAATGTTTTGGGTTGGAAGGGACCTTAAAGCTCATCCAGTTCCCAACCCCCTGCCATGGGCAGGGACACCTTCCACCAGACCAGGTTGCTCAAAGCCCCGTCCAGCCTGGCCTTGAGCCCTGCCAGGGAGGGGGCAGCCACAGCTGCTCTGGGCACCCTGGGCCACTGGCTCACCACCATCTCAGGAAAGAATTTCTTCCTTACATCTCATCTAAATCTACCCTCTCTCAGTTTAAAACCGTTACCCCTTGTCCTATCCCTATGCCCCCTGATAAACAGTCCCTCCCCATCTTTCCTGTAGCCCCCTTTAATCACTGGAAGGCCGTTCTAAGGTCTCCCTGGAGCCTTCTCTTCTCCAGGCTGAACAACCCTAACTCTCTCAGCCCGTTCTCATAAGGGAGCTGCTCCAGTACCACGATCATCTTTGTGGCCTCCTCTGGACCCACCTGAGCAAGTTCATGACCTTATGTTGGGGGCCCCAGAACTGGACATAGTACTCCAGGTGGGGTCTCATGAGAGCAGAGTAGAGGGGGAAGAATCCCCTCCCTCGACCTGTTGGCCACTCTTCTCTTGATGCAGCCCAGGATATGGTTGTCTTTCTGGGCTGCGAGTGCACGTTGCTGGGTCTTAGTCAGTCTTCCATCCATCAGTATCCCCAGGGCCTCCTCAGGGCTGCTCTCAATCCACTCATAGCCCAGCCTGTATTTGTGCATGGGATTGCCTTGACCCACGTGCAGGACCTTACACCTGGGCTTGTTAAACTTCATGAGGTTTGCATGGGCACACATCTCAACCTGTCCAGGTCCCTCTGGATGGCATCCCTTCCCTCCAGCGTGTTGATCACACCACATGGTTTGGTGTCATCAGCAAACTTGCTGAGGGTGCACTCAATCCCACTGTCCATGTCACCAACAAAGATGTTGAACAGCACTGGTCCCAATACTGACCCCTGAGGGTCACCACTTGTCACTGGTCTTCACTCAGACATCTAGTCATTGACCACAGCTCTTTGAGTGCAACCATCCAGCCAATTCCTTATCCACTGAGTGGTCCATCCATCAAATTAATTTGTTTTGTGGATTACAGCAAACATTTCTACAGTAAGTTTAACTAAGATAGCAAACAATAACAAATTCAAATCACTAACAAAAAGATAAACTATCATAAGAGGAAAGCAGGCTTCTTCTAGAAGAAATTAAAAATGACCTTTAAAATAAAACAATCTAATTATACAGTTTTTTAGCAGAAGGATGTTTAGCCAACCAGAGCACTCAGTTGGCAGAACAAGCCAAGGCGACATTACTTTGCACATATGGTGCTTTTTGAAAACAAAACAAAATGGGATATATTGAATGGCATCATCTCTACCCTACATTTACTAGGGTAGAGAATAAAAAACTTTAATTCTGAAAAAAACCCACACATTTTCTCTCAGGCTTTACAGTGGGTGAAATAAAGACCTCATACTAAGTCAAGGGGAGTTTGTCTATGAGACCAAGACTTCCTCCAGAGAACATTATGGGTATCTCATTCTCAAATGACAGTGCACTGCCAGAGAAGGATGCACAACAGACCTACTGGTGTACCTCCTTAATAGGCACGCCAAACATTTATGATGGTCCTTCAAGATTCACCAATAATAGTCCCTGAATGATCCCATACCAAATTCCTGCTTTCTTCTAGGTATTTAATCTGGTGACACCGCCACTGCACACTGCCAAATCAAATCCCACCCCATCTCTGAGCTTGGTTTCCCTGCAACTGTTTGCTCGAGTCACTGATAAGGTAGTGCACCAGCACTGACATGAAGTTGCACTCAGTTCTCATACCCAAATCCTCCTTCCTAGCCATGATGTCTCCTACATAGGTGCAGGATTCAGCAGGCACAAGTTCCAAAAGTAGAAGTGAGACAGTTTACAATTAATAACTGAAAATCTGCCATCGTATAGCATCTCTTTCACCCTGAACCTCCCCTTGCCAAGACAGATCAAGTATTGATGTCAACTATGTGAAGCTACTGAGTCCTTGGCACCATGCTTACTTCAGTGTTATTCATACACTTCTTCTGAAATGCTACCCTGCCTATAAATGCTATGTTGTTTTGGCAAACTGACCAGCAACCGTTTCAGTCAAGCCAATTCACTGGTAGGCAGTTAGCGCAATTTAGACCTTGCAAAGACCCACACTCGTTGTCCAGCGTTGCCGCCTTGTGCCACAGAGCTTTCTTGGCTGCCAGCAGCATCCTGCAGGCCTCCAGAAGTCAGGCGATGATCCTGGGAGCTGCTTGAAAGAGGTTGGCACTGGCGACTGCCGGGAGCCCTGCTGCTTCCAGCGGGACCCTGCCCGCACGGGCACGCAGCCCAGGAGCAGCAACAGCAGCTCCCATGCTGGAGTTACCAATTAATCCCTCTTCTTGAGAAGCAGGAACGAAATCAGCTTCAGAGTTCAAAAGCTGACAGAGTACTCATTTGCCACCTTCTAAAAAGCACTGTGAAGTCAGTGAGTAGATCAAGCTCATGCACCACCACTGGTGTGCCATTTGGGAACCACTGTCCTCAAAAAAAGACCCCAAAACACCAAGGTATTTTAAATATGCATAATATGCCAACTTTGCCAAACTAAGGGAGGAATAAAATTCACCAGTGGGTAAAAAGATTAATGAGTTTCTCCCTCTGCTTTAAAACTTCTCTCCTCCTTCAGCCTTCTTTCATCTTGCACAACACACTCATTCAGCCTACTTTGCCAAGCAGAAAGACCTGCCTAAGAGCCTGCCTCTTGTACCTCTGGTGCCTACTTCAAGAGTCACTAATGATGCATCTCATCTAAGGCACTAGACAGCAAATATACTCTGCAAATTGTGTGAAAACATTTAGTGAGCATAAGTAAAAAAATAAAGCTTTCTGTGCCTCCATACTTTTGGAGGATGTATTATTATTTTTGATTTTTTCTTTTTTTTTTTTTTTTTTTGCTTTGCAAATAAGGAAACCAATATGCAAATTCTCCTGCGCAGCTGCTTCTTGATCCAGCTCTCAGCTCTGCTGGAAATCTGCAAAAGTGCTGACTTTCAGATTTTAAAGGGAGATGAAGAAGGTGAAAGAGGAAACAAAGGAGGGGTCACCACTCACGGGTGCTCTTCACTTCAAGGCTACATGAGATACTAAAATAACAATTTTTTAGCAGTTATTAAGGTCATCTAATCTCATGATTGCAGAATTGGTTTTGGCACATCAGATGCTCATGAATCCTGCTGAAAGTGCTGCAATGCCCATTGGGGTATTAAATATTTATCTTTGCGGGCTTTTAAGATACAGATATTTATCATGCCCGAAGAAAGGGTTGTTTTTTTCTCACAATTATTTCAATATTAAATTGAATAACAGATTATTAGCAGAGAGCAACATTTTCTAAATCATCTTGAGAGGTGAAGAATTAAATACGTACAATAAGCATATTGTTTCCTCATTACTCTTCATATCTCAACCAAATCTGCAATTTGTTAGCTGATTTCCAAACACAAAGATAAATATAGTCCTTGCACTGAATAAAGTATATCTTAAGAATGCAAAAAAAATCAGTTTAAGTTGACAGCAGGTAAATATCTTATTAGTAAAGATGGTGAACTGTTTTGCTATTTTTTTTCCTGGACATTTTTATTCTGTGTTTAAAATTCTCCAGTGGTGGCATCCACTGTATTTCTTTCCCTTCACAGCCCACTGTCATGACAGTAGAGCGAGCTGAATGGGACACTCTTGTCCATCCCATGTATTCCCCTTCGTGTGTGGGCCTTGGCTTCCTGACCTGCTTCCATTCCCTCTCAGAGCTTCCACACTAGGCACATGTGAGAAGCCCTACTGGCTTCGGGCACCCTGGCAGGTTTTTGTTTGTGTGTTTTACAAGAAGCCGGTACCATAACCCAAATAAAATGCTTCAGAACAGCTTCATCAAAACAAACCGATTTCCCAAGGACTTACTGCAAACAAAAAAACTCAATAAAACCCAGAAAGACTCAACACCCCACTCACAAGGCACAAGAAACATTCTTTTGCTCAAAATACATGTAAAGACCAAAAATCTTCTATTTCTCAGTTTACTGAATACACGTGCTGGCATGACTTGGAAGTGATGGCAGACCATGCAGATTTCAGCACTAGAAAATACGAGGACTCAGAGTAACACGTGATACACACCAGGGTTCATCCATCGTTAGTATAACAGAATTATATATAGACACCCCTATGGGGTGGGAGTGTGTGAACCCATGCCTACGTCCCCCTCTCTCTTTACATATCGCCAACAATTTTATTATAAAAGATCCACTTCGTGTTTTACTGTCGGTGGGTTTTTTCCCCCCTTAATTATTTGACTCAGAGGTTCTCTTTAAAACACAAGAGCACAAAACAAGAGAGTGCTGATACCACATCAGGGTTCCCCGGCTCCCACCAACCATACTTACTAGCTAAGAGACAAAGTGCCTTCTTTGATG